AAAAACCAATTGGGGGGGCCAAGAGCAATTCCTGGGGGGGTTCCAAAAAATTTTTTTGGGTTCTTTATTTTTTTCCGGGGGCAACCGCGAAAAAAAGGCCCGGTGTTTTTTTTTTTTTTTTTTTTTGGATTTTTTGGGGTTCTTTTTTTTGTTTTTTCGGGGGTTTTTTGGGGGAAATTCTTTTGGGAGGGGTTGGGGGGTTTTTTTTTGGAATGGGTTGCCCCCCCCTTCCCCCCCCCCCCAATTTTAAAATTTGGGGGGGTTTTTTTTTTTTGGGGCCCGGGTTGGTGGGGGGGGGAAACTTCCCGGAAGGGGGGGTTAATTGCCCTTTTAAAAAAAGGGGAGGTTCCTTGAATAAAGGGGTTGTTCTTTGTTATTTGGGGGGGCCCCCCCCCCCCCCCCCCCATGTGCCCAGAAAAAAGGATACAAACCTGACGCCCTGAATGGTTGAGACGACCCTGAATAAATCGGACGCCGAAAATTAGACGACTCTGAATACATGGGGCGATCCTGAATAAATGAGACGACCTCCCCGCCCCCCACGGTACCTTCCTCCCCCCATAACAAATGCTTCTATGAAAATATACGATCAGTTCTGCAAGACCAAGCCGAAGAGCGGGGAGGAGGAGGAGGCGAGGATCAAGGCGGAGCTGGAGCGCAAGAAGAGGGCCAACGCGCAGATCACGCTCATGGACCCCAAGACCTCGCAGAACGTCGGAATCGCGCTCGCGAAGATCAGGCTGTCCAACGAGAAGGTGGGGTCCGGCACTTGTATTGCGTCCTGCCCTGTTTTTTTTCCGGGGGGGAGAGGTATACTCATGTTTTGCATGCCCTTGTTGTTAGGTTGTTGACCACGTGTCTTAGAGGGAGGGGTGGGAGGGATTAGGACCATGACCAGGACCCCGGAATATCGTCCGGTTATTTCTCCGCAGCTCTCAATGGCCTCCCGCGATCTCGTGAACAAACAGCAGTAGTTGTTCCGCCGCACCTGAACAGTCCACTGGCCTGCGTCAACGTTGCCGACGAGATAGAGTGTCGCCACGGCCCGCCACCGCCGACAGCGAGGGTTTAGATAACGTGTTTTTTGAAGTGTTTGTGGGGTTCCGGTGTGTGTGTGTGTGTGTGTGTGCATGTTTTCGGAGTGTGGCTTTATCTCCTTGGCACTGACGAAGGCTTGTCGTTTTGCTAGGCATGACCGTAATCTGTTTGGTATCGTGACGTGCGGTTGTCGTGTGCTCGTGTGTGGTCCTTTTTTTTGTCTCTGGGATTTTCTTCGTCGCGTGTTTTTGCTGGTGGGGGTCGTGACCGCGTGACCCTACCGATACCTCCCCGGCTCTTATCTAACTCCGCTTGGTTCTGTCGTTGGTGTACCTAATGCCGACCAACCGACCACGCTCGCCCTGCCAGAGTCGTTGTCTCTTTGCCATGGATGACGCGAGAGACGTAGTTGGGTTGGCTGCCGTTACGGCACGTGGCTCCTTCACGACATTGACTTTTGAAACGTCGCTGCCACTACTACCGCCGTACGTCCACGTACGCAGATCGTCCAAGCTGTCATCACAATGGACGAGGAAGTGTTGGACATGGAGATCATCCGCTCTCTCCGCCAGCAGGCTCCCACGGGGGAGGACATCACGGCTCTTAAGGAGTTCGACGGGGACCACACGAAGCTCGGAAAGGTGGGGAAAGAGGGGTAGGTAGTACCTCTTGCCGTTTTTTTACCGTATTTCGTCCCTCTTTTTTACCGTGTACCGTTTTCGAAGGAGTTCGAGAGGACACCGCCAAGCTCGGAAAAGTGGGGGAAGAGGGGTAGAATTTCGTACCGCTTTTTTTACCGTGTACCGTGGTTGCTGCTTTGTGAGCCTGCGGCAAATTTACCATGGAACCGTTCGCGAGGAGAGGCGATGGAGAAAGAATCCCGCCGTAACATAATCGTAGCAAGGCTCATGCTCGCCCCCTTTTGTTGATCTTGTCCAATTACACCGCCGTATCGCTGTGCACTGTTTTTCCTCGCACCTTTGTCGTTTCGTGTTGTGTGTGTCTAATCGTCAACTTTGTTGTTGCTGCTGCTGCTGCTGTTGTTGTTGTTGTTGTTGATGATGGATGTTGGGATGGTAAAGGTGGAACGGTTCTTCAAGGAGACGATGAAGATCCCGCGCTACGCCCCCCGGCTAGACTGCATGATCTTCAAGGGGGGCTTCGAGAGGGACGTGCGGGACTTGACGGAGACGCTCGACATCGTCAGCAACTGTTGCACGCAGGTGGCAAGCGGCGTGGTGGTCGTCGTTGTCGCCGTCTTGTTGTTGTTGTTGTTGTTGTTGTTGTTGTTGTTGCAGTGTGTTTCGAGTAGCTGGTACTACTGGTATGCTCTAGTTTTATTTGTCCAGTTTTATTTTTATTTTGTCTGTTTTCTGTAAATTTACCTTTCCAATGGACCCCATTGGCCTTGGTCGTTGGTCGCTCGTTGTTGACAGCATGCCTACATCAGATGTGCTGCCGCTCTTTTTTTTTCTTTTTTGTTGTTGTTGTCATTTTGCGTGTGTATGTACATGATGCCTCCTGGAATCACACAGGTGCGGGAGAGCAAGTCTCTGAACCGGCTGTTGAAGATGATGCTGGCCGTCGGTGAGTGGAGATGGAGGAGACAGAAACAAGGACAGGCAGTTCTTCATCGTGTACATTCCGAGGGAGTCTATTTAGATTGGGGAATAAGACGATGTATTTAGATTGGGGAATAAGACGAGGGAGTCTAATTAGATTGGGGAATAAGACGATGTACAGCAGTACCTGTTGGAACCGGGCGTTACAGCAGTCCCCACTCGCGTTTCTCAACGCTAGTCCAAGGAGGTTTTGTGTCACTATGCATCGACATTGTCCTGTCACTTTCCCACTCTTTATTGTGCCATTTTTTGCGTTGTTGTGTGCTGCCCCATTTTTTTCTTTTTCCCTGGCGGTTTCGTTGTCCTTCCTTTACCACGGGAATCGCGCGGTCAGGTGTTTGATCAGTACGAAACAGATGAAGATACTGACTGCTGTGTAGAGATCGGAACGGTTTTTAATGTGAAGACAACAAAACAACAATCACGAGCCATCTCTTCTTTTACCCTCAAATAGTTTTTTTTTTTTTTTACAACACAATGAATTAATATAATATAACATGTCTCTTTTTCTTGTTCGTGTGTGTCTCTCCAGGGAACTTCTTGAACGGAGGCACTCCACGAGGAGGGGCGTACGGCTTCAAGGTTGACGTGCTCAAGAAGTTCAGCGAGCTCAAGGTGAGCCTCTCCAGGAAGGGGCTGACAGGCCATGCATGTCTGACGTACATCGGGGTATCTTCGAAGAGGTTTACACCGGGATACCTGCGAAGGAATGCTATTAGGGTACTGTTGCTGTTCCTGCTGGGAAGATTAGTGAATGGACTACAATACAAGGACTTGTCTCTAGCAGCACGTGGGGGGTATCTACGAAGGAAGGCTAGTTTTCACGGCTGCTGCCGTTGCCTGTTAGGTAGGTAGTTCTACAATGTACAGCGGTGCGAGTTGGGATGTAAGCCGTCGTGGTCCGTTTTTCGTTTTGCCAAGGGTCACACGAAAAAACGACTACCAGTACAGCGTATATGATAATCACACGAAACGCACGCGTACTTGTTTGCGTATAGGCAGCAGAGCCCTTGCCACGACGATAGGGACTTGACGATGGAGTGGTCTTGACGCAAACTTGTTCAGGCCTATCTTCCGAGTGTAGAGTGCTGCATGTTCTTTTGAGCGGGAATACAACCTCAAACGTCATGACCGGCGTCTAACGGTTGTTGTTGCTGTTGTTGTTGTTGTTGTTGTTGTTGTTGTTGTTGTATATTGTTGCGAATATACTTGATGTTTACTTTCCTCCGTCTTTCTTTCTTTTTTTTTTCGCAGGACGTTACCAACAAGCGCACCCTCATGCACGCTTTCGCGGAGTGGTGCCAGCGATCACACAAGGATCTGCTCAACGTCAGCGACGACTTCCCTGACATCGAAGAGGTTCGCCAATGAAACCATAGGCAGAGGCTAAGACCAGCTGCAGCAGCTAGACAACCAGTGCTCGAAGCTACTGGCAATAGCTAAGACTAACTGATGTTTTGGGCGTGATCATGTGCGGCACAACCACCACCTTGTTGATGCCTTTTCGGGTGAATTTTTCTTGACAAAGTGTATCAATACGTAGATGCGGGTGACATACGCTGTTGTGCTGAAGAAACGGTACAAGGCGGGTGGCTTCTTGAACCAAGAGGCACGAGAGGAGGTGACGGTTTCCGCACGTCTACGGTGCCCCCCCCCCGCCCCCGCACGACTCGAACCCCACCGCCCTGGACTCCATCTTCACACTCAGGATAACTGAGCGGCAACAGCGCACGACGACGACGACGACCACAACGGCAGCTACGGACCACGGCAACGTAACATGACACGGAACCCTGCTCCTATTCCCGACCAGATCCCCCGCACTTGCTCACCGGGACACCGAAAAGCCAACGCCGACAACAACAACATGCGCTTTGACCTCCAATATACAAACC